CTCACAGAGAAACTAAAACAAAGTTGTGTTTACCATTCGTCCTAAAACATGGTGACCTCCCACTAGCCTGCCAAGAGCCACCACTTTTTTGGTGTGGACATTTGAAGTGAACCACTGTCTGAAACCGTAGGATGCTTTTCTTTCACATTTGCTCTTAGGAAAAGTAATGTGTGTGTGTGTGTGTGTGTATCTGTGTGTGTGTGTCTATCTCTGTGTGTGTGTCTGTGTGTGTCTATCTGTGTGTGTCTGTGTGTGTCTATCTGTGTGTGTGCCTGTGTATGTGTGTGTCTTTGTGTGTGTGTGTCTGTGTGTGTGTGTCTGTGTGTGTTTGTCTGTGTGTGTATGTGTGTCTGTGTGTGTCTCTCTGTGTGTGTCTGTGTGTGTGTCTGTGTCTATCTGTGTGTGTGTCTGTGTGTGTGTCTATCTCTCTGTGTGTCTGTGTGTGTGTCTGTGTGTGTGTCTGTGTGTGTGTCTGTGTGTGTGTCTGTGTGTGTGTCTGTGTGTGTGTCTGTGTGTGTGTCTGTGTGTGTGTCTGTGTGTGTGTCTGTGTGTGTGTCTGTGTGTGTGTCTGTGTGTGTGTCTGTGTGTGTGTCTGTGTGTGTGTATGTGTGTCTGTGTGTGTTTGTCTCTGTGTGTGTGTCTGTGTGTCTATCTGTGTGTGTGTCTGTGTGTGTGTCTGTGTGTATGTGTCTGTGTGTGTGCGCCTGTGTCTGTGTGTGTGTGTCCGTGTGTGTGTATGTGTGTGTGTGTCTATCTGTGTGTGTCTGTCATGTTCATATTCCCTAAGGAAAATGGGGCAAGGGAATCACCTAGGGAAAATGTAATTTGGGGATGAGTTCTTAGACATATCTTGTACAACTAAATTTAAAAATGACAAAATAGCTACTGGAGTCAATAGGCATCCTGATCCTAGTTTCCTAGATGCTAGAGTTCAAGGGAAAGCTAAAATGGAAATAGGCTGAAGATCAGCGTGTAAGCCCAGGCTTGCCTGCTGTTTGCGCTTCTCCCTGTAGCCCCAAGATCTCTGTCACTGTTTTGGCAGTCTAGTATTCTTTGTTCATTTCTTCCGCTTCAACATAAGCAAACAGTCCTTAGCAAGAATGTTAGAAACACGGTCAATTGTGAACTGCATGATGAAATGTCTTTATATATAGCTTATATACATTTTCTCTTTATCACACATTAAATTCTGAATTGAGAGTTTCCATGATAGTGTGTGTCAAATGGATATGTCTGATTAGATTTCCTCATTGTGCAATTTCCTGGAATGACTTTAATTGAATTAAACTCAAGCAATTCGGAATAAATGACTAATTATATTAACTTAGATTAATAATCTAGTTGTTTGATGACTAGTATTAGGACATTTACCAGCAACTCACAGTAGTAGTGGGTAGGTGGGAAAACAAGGGTATCTTTCACATTATGCTAATTAGACAACGCTTTTTCCCCATCACTCTCAGCAGGCTGTGCTCTAAGCCACCACTGAGATGAGGACCACATAATAAATAAATGTAGTTTTCATTTTGGTTGGGGAGCTTTTTTTTTTTTTTTGGTCTTTTTGAGACAGGGTCTCCTTGTAGCCCTAGCTGGCCTGGAACTCCCTAGGGAGGCCCGGCTGGCTTTGAAACTCACAGAGATCTGCCTGCCTCTGCCTCTCAAGTGCTGGGACTAAAGGCATGCACCACCACACCTGCTGGGGAGCTTTTTTTTTTAAAAAAAGTATTTACTTATTATTTATCTTGGGATAGGTCGTGCTATGTAGCCCCGGATGGCCTGGAACTTGCTATGTAGGCCAGGCCAGCCTACAGAGAGTTACTTGTCTCTGCCTCTAGAATGCTGGGATTAAAGGACTGTGCAACCATGCCCAGTCTAATTTTAATTTTTATTGATTGATGATTGATTGATTGATTTTTGGTATTTTGGAGATAGTCTCACTGTAGCCCCAACAGGCCTAGAACTCATCATGTAGACCAGGCTGGCCCTGATCTCATAGAGATCTGTCTGCCTCTGCCTCCTGAGTGTTGGGATTAAAGGCATGTACTAGCATACCTGGCTTATTTTTAATTATGAAGCTGGAGTTACAGGAGGTTGTGAGATGCCCAGTATAGGTACTGGGATCCAACTTGGGTCTTCCCGAAGAGCACTATGCTTTTAATAATTGAGCAATCTCTACAACCCTCGACCCCCAGGTGGGGAGCTTTTTTGAGAAAGGGTCTCATGTAGACCAGGCTGACTCTGAACTTGCTGGGTAGCCAAGGATGATCTTGAACTCCTGATAAATGTATGTAATCTTGATAGTAAATGTGACTGGCTTGTGACTAAATAGATTAGAACTGAGCAGTCTCAACTTGGTGAGATATAAACACAAAGCAGTTATCTATTTTTCTCCCACAGTAATTGCTGTCAATTTTACTTTTAGTTTGATCCTTCCTAGCATTTCTGTTTTAAAAGTTTTATTTTTATACGTTTTCATTCAGTTGCATTTAGGTATCACTTTGTGCATGTGTGTGTCTGTGCATGCATGCCTATGTGCATGTGTGTGTGCACGTGTGTGTGTGTGTGTGTGTGTAGAACAGAGATCAATGTCCAGTGCCTTTCTCGATCACTTTTCCACATTATTTTTTGAGATTGTGTCTCTCTCTAAACTTTGCTGATTATACTAGCGCACATGGCCAGTGAGCCTCTGGGATTTATCTCCCTCTGCCCCTCAGTGCTGGGACTACAGGCATGTTCAGCCACACACAGCTGTTATGTGGATACAGGACATTTGAACTCAGATCCTCATGCTTGCACAGTGACTTCTTTACACATTGAGCCATCTCTCCAGCTCCTAGGTGCCACTTTTTAGGGTTCTTGATCAGTTCAAAGTATTCCTACCACAACCAGTGGAGCTGAGGGTATAAGTAGATGCCCTCTGCATAAGTGTTCAGGCGGCAAAGTGAAAGTTCCCTTTTCATCAGGGAGAGGAGATAGAGAGCAGATAGATCATCTTTCACCTATACTTGGGCACTTTTACAAAGAGGGCTCTCTAAATTGTGAGTTACTATTTTCATGGCTAGTGTAAATAAATTGTGAACCATGGAGTAGGTCCCTGACCTGCCTTTTGCTGTTAGAGAACATGCTAGAGGGAAATTTCTTGTGCTATGTGGGCTATAAACTATTACCTTCCCAATAAAGACCAAAGACTAGGCTAATGAAACTGATTCTCATAAGACTGAGCCAATATTTGTCTTCAAATAGGTGGATGGAAAGAATGTGACAGAGGACAGTGGGTAGACTAGGCATCACATTTAACTGTTTCCTTATTTTTAAAATGAAGATAAAAAACTTCCAACTTTCTGTAGAGTTATGAAGAATCATTGGTATGCTGTGTGGAAAACACCAAGATAGTAGGAGATACTGAAAAATGGGAGCTATGATGAATTATAATTTTAAACACAAGCATCTCAAATGGGAATTAAATTGGGTTATTAAACTAAATGCGATTAATTTAGACTTTGTCATTAACTGTGAATTAATTTTATTTCTAGCAGTTGTAGTATTAGTAGATTGGGTCCTTCATCATTTCTGATATAAATAAATTTTTTTCTTCAAAATGTCCCCAAGCTAGAATACAGAAAATGTGTTTGCCTGATTGTAACTGGGTTCTGGGGACAGGAGTCCGGAGTCCCAGCTCCTCAGGAGACTCAGGCAGGAGGATCACTTGAGCCCAGGAATTCAGGACAATTTAGGACAACATAGTAAGACCCCCATCTCAAAAAATTTCTATTCAAAATAAATAAATAAATCTGCACATGTTTTTAATCTCAGTACTCAGAAAGCAGAGACAGGCAGATCTTTGCAAGTTGGAGGCCAGCTTGGTCTATATAGCAAGTTTCAGGCCAGCCAGTGCTATGTGGTAAGAGTCTGTCTAAAAACAAAACAAAACCCTAAAAAACTAAACAATAACAACAAAACAACCAAAAACAAAATAAATAGATATGTAGATCCTGAGTTTCTTCTTTAGATATCCAAGTCTAAGTGTGCTATAGGGCTGAAGATCTGAACTTACCAGTAGATGTCTGACCTTTGACTTATAATTATGAGTCAATTGTCCTAATGAAGTCAGCATAAATAATAATTGATAAAATGACAATGATTTTATTTTACATATATGAGGTGACAATAGGATTCAAATGCATTAACAGAGGGCTGTTGTTTACTGATAACTTGTGACAATACTTGTGTCAATTTGAATTAGTGTGCAACTTGAATCAGCCAAATACGAAGCAAAGTTCATTCAATTCATTTATGGTGGAGTCTAAGTTATAGAGACCCACTTAAGACAATGGATTTTTATTTGTTTATTGAGGAGGATTGTTTGGTGGGTTTTTGTTTTTTGTTGTTTGTTTGTTTTGGTCTTTTTGAGACAGGGTCTTTCTAACTGGCCTATGTAGACCAGGCTAGCCTTGATCTAACAGAGATTGGCTTGCCTTTGCCTCCCAAGTGTGTTTTGCTTTCTCTGAGACAGTTTTTTGAGACTGTAGTCCATGTTGACCTTTAACTATTGAACTTCCATACCTCAGCTTTCCTGGGATTATAGATGTGTGACAGCACACTAGCTTGAAATAGTAATTTTTTAATGGAAATTAGTAAACTTTAATCTTTCAGTGAGATGGTTCTTGACATAATATTATATAAATTTGACAGTGTTCTGAGAGATGATTAATTTTTTGAGCTATTTTGATTATAGAAGATATACGAGGAAATGCTAGTGTGTGTGTGTGTGTGTGTGTGTGTGTGTGTGTTTTAAACAAGTGTCCAAAAACACTTGATATAAGCAAGTTGAAACAAGGGTAGAGAAACTAAAATAGAACTTCCTGGACAGGAAGTAGAGAAAGGAAGGAGGAGAAGGGAAGTGAAGGAAGAGGAGGAGAAGAGAGGGGAGGGGATGGAAGTGAATAGAAGGGAGGGAAGGGGATTCAAGGGGCATGAGAAGGGACAGAGAGGTGGGAAGGGGGAAGGAGGAAAAGAGAAAACGAAGGAAAGAGGACGGGAAGGACAGAGGGAAGAGCATCATAAAGGAGTACAGACTCTGTAAAGAAGCGGTTTTATTTGGAGACAGTGTTGCTGCACATAATTTCCATTGGGTTCCCATGCTCACTGAAAATCAAAGGAAAACAAGAATTGCGATGCCATTTTTCCAGCAGGTGACTCTACAGGCATCTCCTATGAGAGATGAACTATCAAACAAACAAGACTTTCCACTTCAAGCCAAGCCCAATCATCTATGTAGATGCATATTTTTGATGCCTTTAAAAACACATGTTTATAATTTAAATATTTTCAGAAGATTTGTTTCTTCATTTTTACATGAACCTTGTTTGGTAAGAGAAAGACATAGAAAGGTCAGGGAGCCCTGTGGATGTAAAAGAAAATTGTCGTGCGTTTCTGTTTATTTCTGTGTATTGTTATTGGTGATATTTGAGTAGCATATTTCCTTAGTGATTATGAGATATGTGCTGTCTGGCTGCACTAAATAGCTAGAGAGGAAAAATTGAGGATGGTACTACTTTCACAATCCTGTCCTGCTCTGGGCAGTGAGAAATCTCCATGTCCGAATATCTCCCCAATGCTAAGTAGTCTCTCAGATTCAGGGGGCACCCTGTGCCGGAGATAGTGGGCATTTTTGGCTTTTTCAAACAACTCCAAGAAGGTTAGTTTTGTGGATTCACCTTTGAAGCCTCCTGAACATTCCACAGAGCTTGGGAGATTTTGTTCCCCAGCATCCCCCGATGGTTTCAGATCAACATCTTTTGACCCGGTCTCGTCAGCAGATGCTGATCCACACTTGCCAGCTAGGCTGGACGTGGGGCCATCTTCTGTGTTGGTGGAAACCTCTTGACTGTAACATGGGACAGAGATGTCCTGGGTGGGGTCTGTGCCCTCAGGAGGATTTGCAGACTCTTTCTCCTGGGCTTGTGGGTTCTCTTCTGTGAAGCAGCCAGTTCTGTCATTTTGAAATCCCAGGTGCTCTTGGTTCCTCATGGGGTCTTTGATGTCAGCAGCATGTAGAGGGGGCACCTGGGTTTTAGCTTTTATTTCTTGGGTCATGTTGGTTGCCAGTGCTCTTGGGGGTGGGGGTGAAAAAAGAGAAATGTCTTTGAAAACCAATAAATGGGGTCCTATTTAGACCTTTCCAGTTATCAGACTATGGCTATCTTTGGTGAGATACCCACTGAGATAACAAAGTGGGTGCGAAGAGGGGCGGAGGATGAGAAGAGGTGGAGCTGTCTCTAGGAGGGGGAAGTGGCATCTTTCCAGGGGGAGGAGGATGTTTTAAAGGGTCATTTGGGCAGTGGGATTGAATGTTGCATCTATGCACTTAAGTGCTTTCTTACCTCATTTTAGGCTCCGAGACTACATGCCTCTGCCTGCTCTGTGGTGAAGAAGTGAGAACATCTTTTGGCCTCGTCTGAATCCCACTACTCAAATAGGAGGAGAACTTTTTCTTGGTGATATCTGCATTGAAATAATTAGCAAATGATGGGTTGGAAAGATGGCTCAGCAGTTGAGAGTGCTTGCTGTTTATCACGAGAACTGGAGTTCAGAGTCTAGCATCCATATAAGGCAAATAACACCTTTACCTCCATCTCTAAGGGTTCTGACACCCTCTTCTGGCCTCTGAGGGCACCTGCACGCTCACTTGCACATAGTGTCACACAGACACATACACACAGTCACATAAACATAAACAAAACAAAATAAATCTTTTAAGACAAAATTAACAAACAAGTTAATATAAACTTAATTGTGTACCCCCCAAATTTCAAATGTTGGAGTCCTAAATGCCTAACACCTGAGATTTTGACATTATTTAGAGAGAGATTCTTTTTTAAAAAATATTTTATTTATTATTTTTATTTTATGTGTATGAGTATATTGCCTGCATATATGTTAGTGCACTCATGCAATGCCTGCAGAGGTCAGAAGAGGGGGTCAGATCCCTTGGAACTGGAGTTATGGATGGTTATTTGTTGCCATATGGGTGCTGGGAACTGAATCCAGTCCTCCGCAAGAGCAGTCAGTTCGCTAAACTGCTGAGTTATCTCTCCAACCTGGACAGAAATTCTTAATAGAGATGATCAGATTAAAATGAGGCCATTAGGGTGCATCCTAACTACTATGATGGTATCCTTGTGATAGCAACAATCTGAACAGACACACAGGGAGGGCAGCATGTGAAGGGATGAGGAGATGTCATCTACACACCAAGGAGAAAGCTCCTGCTTTACACCCAGGAAAACCATTCCTACCCACACTTTGACATATAGACTCTAGAATGGAGACAATGAAGTTCTGAGGTTTGAGGCATGTGGTTCATGGTACTTAGTTGTGGAGCCCTAGAAAATGAATACAACAGGAGAGAAAAATGAGAGCCAGCATCCCCGACTCTCGGTATGTGAGGACCCTTGGTTCCCATCACCTCACTGTGCTCTTGCACGGTGGATGACGATGGACAAACTCTATGCAATTCCCACTGTTTGCCCAGAACATATCAGCGAGGATTTAGATACACTGAAATCAGAGGTGTCAACAGCCTCAGCCCATGAAGGCTTTATTCAAGTGTTTTACTTGGCAAGCCAAAGTGTTTAAAAAACAAAAGAACTGGGTATGAGCATTTTGTCTCATTTACCACAATTGTGTGACTTCCTATTCATGTGTGGCAAGAGTTAGCAACTGCTAGCATGAAAAAGTACACTTTCTAGTCATTATGGAGTCCATGTTTCGAGCTCCTGTAGTTTCAGCTGTATAGAGGACCATATGAGTTTTCAAGACATTTAAAACTGGGTCATTTAGTTGCTTAAAGTTACAGTGGTTTAAGGCTAGAAGTGTAGTTCAGTAGTAGAGTGCTTACCTAACTAGTACAAGGCTCTGGGTTTAATCTCTAACACTCAGCCAAGAAAACCTCAGCCAAATGAAAACTACCCAACTAAACAAAACACAGGAAACCAACCACAGCAACAAAATGGTACCCTCCGATGATGCAAACACTCTATTGTGTTAGTAGGTTCCAGGCAGAGGGAACAAGGGAATATGACTATTCAAGGGACTTAAACGTCACACTGAGCTCTTTCATCCAATCACTTGTGTCCTTTGTGGCTCCTCTTACAATTGTCTCTTTGGGACTATTGTAATATTTTTCCATGTTAATCACCAATCTCCAATAAACTAAAGGATCTGGGCTACTTCTCTAGGCAGCCCACTCTTCTGTGGTTAAGGTGGGAGGGTCAACAGAAATGAGCATATCTTCTCTGTAATGTAGTTTTTCTCTGGTGGTCCCATTGTAATGGCACAGCACTATAGCCACCTAGTTATCCAAGTTAAGCCCACGTACTTGATGGCCTACTTCTAGCCAGGCAATATGTTCTGGGTTTGTTTATGCCTGGACATATACTTAGTCATAAATCTCTGAAAATCCTATTTTCTAAATGTCTCAATAGGTTGGGTTCTGCATTTTCTTTGCCTGACCAATGCCCTAGTTTAAGCCTTACATCATGGTCTGCACTTTGGAATTCTATCATGTCTGCTCCAACTGTACCCTGAGCTCTGTCTTACCTTAAGCACTGTAGTCACAGTGATCTCTCTAAAATTTGAACATATAATCTCTCCGTGCCCAGACCCTGCAGGGTGGAATCTAAACTCTTTCATAAGACCTTTGAAGCCATTGATTGGCGATACTGCCTAACTTGCTTGTGTTCTGAAAACCACACACACATATCATTAGTACTGACCTATTTGTGGCAAGCCATACTTATTCACATCCCTTTCTACAAACTTTCTTTCTATCGTGAATGGCCCTATTCCATACATCCTTCCAATACAATCTCTGCTCTCACATTTACCCCATTCTTCTGCTCCTGGATTCTGGTCACTTATCTCTTTTGGAAAGTTCTTTGATATGACCTTGGACAAGGACAGGGAGCATCCAATTCCCCTGTCCCCTACTTTGTAAATAAATCTAAGTTATTATTTAGAGTTTTTAATGACGATTTTTGGTAAACACAGATGCCTGGCAATTTAAATATGAGCACCTTAAAGTGCCGAGCTCCTGTTTTTCATATTTCCATTCAGCTTCTGAGTAAGTTGAGCCACGGTCAGATGTGATGGCACATATCCAAAATTCCAGCACTCAAAAGGTTGAGGTAGGAGGATCCTGAGTTTCAGCTCAGCCAGAGCAATGTGGTAAGACCCTTCCTCAAAAAAATCAACTAACCAACCAACCAACCAACCAGACAAAAGATACCTGACCTAGAAAAATCCACTTTAGCATCAGTGAAAAAAAATGTTGAATTTTGAGCCTAATTTCTACCTACTGATCTGACTCTCAAAGATAAGCGCTGATCAGCCTGGTGTGTTGTGCACGCCTTTAATCCCAGCACCCAGGAGGCAGAGGCAGGTAAATCTCTGTGAGTTCAAGGCCAGCCTGGTCTACATGGCAAGTTACAGGCCAGCTGAGGCTACAGGAGGCTCTGTCTCAAAAAGACAAAAAAAAAAAAAAAAAAAAAAAAAAAAAAAAGCACTGACAACATACACATTAAACAATCCACTAATGGGTCATATCATTGAATTTCAGTGATAACAATTTCGTTAAACAAATCATTGAAAAGCATCACTGAACACTATCGATAAAACACTAAGATGATTCATATTATTATTTCTTTCCTTTTCCCCTAGTTTGGTTGTTAAGAAGTCTGAGAAACAACGTGGAGACAGTGACCTCTGAATCACTTTTCTGCCGCTTGGTCCTGACCTGTTCCACACACATGTGTCTGAGGCAAACTCTTGATGCAGCAAGGGCAGCCCCTTCCTGAGGTCTCACACACTCTCCTCAGCATGGGCACCTGCTCACATGTTTCCTTTTTTGATAATTAAAGTGGAAATCAACCGATTGGTTTCTAAGCTCCTTTTCCAGGGTTCTTCTTGCAAGCTGGCTTAACCACATCTGGTAGATGGGAAAACGGAAAACAGCAACGTTTAGTTCAGATGGGACTCGTCTTTTAAGTGAAGGGAGCTTAGAAATAATTATACAATTAGAGGTAGTTGAAAATTAGAAATAATTCCCAGGCCAAATGTTTGGATGTTACTTTCAGTTTGTGCGTCCAAACTGTATAGCTCTGAAAGAGTTATATTCAAGCACATCCCCTGGCTTTCCTCCTGAACGTTCCACATCTCATTCAGAGCTCCTGAGTTCTGGCATTCAGCTTGATTCAGAAGGACTAACTTGAAATGCTGGATTTACCAATTCTGTTTGATTTGAAGTACTATTGAATGCTAGTTATTTTAATGACAACATAGGAATGTTAGTTTCTATAAACTACACAAATGAAACAATTTTCAACAAAGTAGTAGGAAATTTTCAATTCTGAAACAACTTTGCATTGGTAATCTGAGTAATTAAAGTTATAATAAGAAATGCACCGGGGGTGTGGTGGCACATGCTTTTAATCCCAGCACTCGGGAGGCAGAGACAGGTAGATCTCTGTGAGTTCCAGGTCAGCCTGGTCTACATAGTGAGTTCCAGGCTAGATGGGGTGACAGGGAGACCCTGTCCAAAAAGACAATAATAATAACAACAATAAATGCTTATTTTGTGTTTAGGTTTTTCCAAATCCTTACTGAAAACTCAAATAATTTTACAAGATGGACAGTGTCACTCCTATTTCACATCTGAGGAAACTGAGATCTAAATCCTAGAGAAGCATTTTCTGTTTTTCATTTAACTTTCATAAAATAGTCTAGGGCAGTGACTTACACCTTAGCTGTCCAGTAAATGGTTGCTGGATCCAGAAGAGAAAGCCATGAAAAAGGGTGATACCAAATGGGCGCTGATAAGAGCAGCATGGAGAATAAAACGAAGTGGGAAACAGGCTGGAGAGATGGCTCAGCAGTTCAGAGCACTGGCTGCTCTTACAAAGGACCCATGTTCAGTTCCCAGCACCTACATGGTGGCTCACAACCATCTATAACTTCAGTTCCAGGGGATCTAATGCTCTCTTGTGGCCTCCACAGGCACCACACATGCACATGTATGGTACACATACATACATACAGGCAAAATACTCATACACAAAAAATAAAAAGTTTTTTGTTTTTTTTTAAAAAAAAGAATGGGAAACTTAGGACTGAAATACAAGAGAACAAATTTGAAAGAAGTGTTAGTTCAAGAAGGACGGGGAGTGGGCATTGGGATTTGTGGGTGACGGCAGGCTGAGGAGGGTTGGGCCTGTGAAATCCAGATAGAGATGGGATGATAGGACGCGCCTGTCATCAGGTGACCCCATCCCTTTCCTGTCAGTGAGGTGGTCGGCTGCTGCCCTGCTCTCCCTTCAGAGCAATTTGCTCACCTTGCTGCAGCCTCTGTAGCTCTTTCTGGAGCTGTCTCTGCTCCCTGGCCAGTGATTTCATGTGGTAAAGGCAGATGTCCTCCAGCCTTTGCAGACTAAGGCTGAGTCTGGCCTCAGCCTGCCTGGCATTCTTCCTCTCCAAGTCGAACTGCTTATACAGTGGTCCCCTCACCATGTTTCTGTCTGTCCTCTTCATGGGTCGCAGATGTAAAAACAAGAGTCTTCCAGGTACCACAACAATCTGAAAGAGCAAGGCCAAGATGCTGGCCCCTAGCAGCGAGTCAGGGATCAGTGTTTGAAGACTGTGATTTTCCTAAACCGAAGATTCCTATTCAGACAAAGTCATACTACTGGAGAAATGGTTCCTATAGTAAAATGTTTCCAGACTGACACAGAAAGATGGAAGATAGCTGTTGGGTGGTGTAGTTTACACCTGTAATCCCCGACTTCAGGCCAGCCTGAGGTCAACTATCAAAGCATCAGCCTCCTTGGCAGTAAAGCAATAACAGACAGAGTTCCCATGTAGACCCCAATCAGATTGCTGTAAAGATCACGTGAGAAATATGTGAACAACTTCTGGGGAAGAAAATAAAAGCACTCTAACTATATGAGGCATTAATTGCCCAGTGAGGGTAGTGCCTCACTATTTCTTAAAGGCTTTCAAAGAGCCTGTTCAGGTCTGGGGAGGATTTGGGGACTTAATGCACCTTGGGGTCCAGTCAGTTAATTCATTCACATACACATGCGAGCTGTCAGTCTGTTATCTCATGCTATGTGCCGTGTGCCCTGCACTGTGCTAAGGGCAGAGTTGGTGACACACAGTTCCTACTCCCAAATTTTCAGATTCACCACTTTGGACTCTGACAATTGATGCAGCACCTGAGCAGTTGCTATCTTGGAGTGGCAGTGTGGGGTATGGTGTTTATAAACAGAATGGAATTCAACATGAGTAGCCTGTGTGGTACTGGGGAAATCTGACTAGTCACAGGCTGTTTTTCTGGCTCTCAATGGTTTTCTCAGACTTGGTGCCCTCTCCATCCTCCACATAACCAATGTCCAAACCCACACTTCCATCTTCTTTAACCTCCAGTGGCACTCACAGGCAGAGACACGTCTCTCTCCCAACACTCATCTCAGCGCTATATAGCACAGTATGTGTACAGAGTAGAAGTTCTTCTCACTAACGTTTGGTGGTATCAATCCAGGGAAAGATTAGCATTAAAGAAGAGAATAAGGTTAGAACACAGGGGAGCTTGATTTAGAGGCTAAAGTGTACACTAACCCTTCACCGAAAAAAAGGCAGGTAGCACTTACCGGCAAACCTAGGCTCTCACCATGAAAACGTTCTTTCTTTTGCTATGGCGGTAGAAGTTCTTCTCACTAATGTTTGGTGGTATCAATCCAGGGAAAGATTAGCATTAAAGAAGAGAGTAAGGTTAGAACACGGGGGAGCTTGATTTAGAGGCTAAAGTGTACACTAACCCTTCACCGAAAAAAAGGCAGGTAGCACTTACCGGCAAACCTAGGCTCTCACCATGAAAACGTTCTTTCTTTTGCTATGGCAGCCTCGGTCTGATCACTGAATTCGTTTTCTTCAGTAAACTTTTGAGCCTGGTGGAGGAGGGAGGGGCCCTCTGGAGAGGGCTGTGGGGAGAGGTTGACTGCACTTGAAAGGTCTCCTCTTCCCTCCTGTCTCCCTTGGTCAGGAATGCGGCCTCCTTGGGCCATGAGTACCAGTCCCTCTGGAGAGGCCAGATTTCTGAAGTGTTTTGAAAATGAAGGAAGCTTGCCAACTTCCAGCCCTCCCCTAGAGGCCCGGTCCTGGGTGGTGTCCATGGGAACCAAGAATGAAAGCAAGCAGTGCCTTGCGGTGTTTGTAACCGTGCTCTTCTTTCCCACCTCTCCCTCTTCTTTCGCCATTTTCCCCTTTGCCTCCCATTTTCCTGCTTCTTGGAAACCAAAAGAAAGCAGCCCGTTTTTCCATTTGTGCTGTGCACTTTTTTCACAGAAGAGTATTTAATTTGCTTATTCTGCCTTACTGCCTAGCATGCCGGGAGTACCCAGGCTGCCACCCTTGTTTGGAACATTTCAAGGCTTATTCAGATTTTCAAAGTGGTGCAAGCAGCGTTAGGCGAAATAAAAAATGTTAATCAACTTTTGTCTTCATGTTTGGGTCGCTACCCGCAGAATGCAGCGTTGAACTACTGGTTATATAAGAAGATCCTGGGTGGGATTATTGTGGCTACCTTGGGGATCCATCTGAAAATAAGAGACAATAAAATGCCACAGCCTCAAGACAGCTGCCAACATTGGGGCCCAGTAACCCCCCAGAGTTTACAAAAGGCAGCTAACAGCCCCTATTACCCACAATCATCACCCTTCAAACAAACTATTATAAGGAGATTAGTGGGGAGCTGAGGGAGGGAGGGAGAGTTATTATTCTCTAAGTGGGAAATGATCCCTTTCCAGAGCGTTCCCATGAGGTAAGTCCCTCACCTCTAGGCTTGAAACAAATAGGGTACGGTCTCCAAGAAAATTATCACAGAAGATGAGGTAAGTGCCACACACAAGGAGATTATCACCTCACTCCCTAGCTGGAGACCTGATTAACTGTGTAACAGCAGAACAGCCCTCAAGTCATACTGTTGTTGCACCCAAGAGCTGATGGTAGTGTGGGATTCCCAGAAAATTTGTGTGCCACCTTGAGAAAGAGCCAAAGTATAGAAGCTTGCAGATATAACCCATGGCTAAAGGACATGAGATTGTTTGGTGTATGTCATGGTCCTCTGGTCCCCTTGAGAGTGACTTGGAGGATCTGACTCCATACATGGGGGCAGAAACCACAGTGTAGCTATGGCATTCCTCTTTGTGGGAGGGAATGATTCATGCAGAGAGATGGAAGCATGAGCTGGGCCCAGGGGACCTGAGTGAAGATGAACTTGCCCCAGAAAACCAAGCATCCTAAAGTAGAGGACACCTAGCACATACAGAACATGAATAGAAGAGCAGTAGTGACTCTTCATATACAAATGGTAGCAGAGATACTGGAGAAAAGCTCTGCTGCCCCCACTCCTATTAGTCCCTTCTTTCTAGCTCACATCCTTAGAGTGACTAGTATTGAAAAGACAAGGGAAGGGAGGCATTAAAACAAAGACCCTGTTGGGGCTGGGGAGCTGGCTTAGTCAAGTGCTTGCCACACAAGAGTAAAGACCTGAGTTTGGATCTCCAGCACCCACATAAAAGAGCTGGGCGTGATGGTGCATGCCTATAACTCCAGCATGGAGGTTGGGAGTAAGGGAGGGATAGGCAGGCAGATCCTTGGTACTCACTGGCCAGCCAGCCTAGCTCAATTGATGAGCTCCAGGTTCAGTGAACAATTCTGTCTCAAAAAGTAAGGTGGATGCCAAGCATGGTGGCACAGGCCTTTAATCCCAGGTCAGCCTGGTCTGCATAGTGAGGCCCTGTCTCTAAATAAATAAATAAATAAGGTGGGGAACAAATAAAGAAGACACCCATTGCCTATCTTTTGTATACACAAAACATACACACACATACATACACCAATGCCATGGTCCCCACTCCACACCAACAATGGGAGGAGGGTGACAGAAAAGATCATTCTCCTTTCTCTTCTCTTTTCTCTCCATTTTCTTCTCTCTTCCCTAGAGTCCAGGGAGGGTCTGACTTACACATAAGATTGGAACTTTAGAGTAGACTGAGCCTTTTTACAAACCCAGCACAGGGGTTGGTGGTCAGGGGAGGGGTAGAAATATATAGACTGTGTCCAGCATCTTATCAAAGAAAGAAAAAAAATCAATACAGTAGTGATTACAAGTACAAAATTATCATTCCCAGATAACACTCCTGCTACCAGCAATGGAGAAAGAAGAACTTAAAGCTGTTCAGTAAAGTGATCGTGGAAAACAATGTTCTAGAGTGAATTTCACCTATGCACATTCATCTTTCTATAAATATTTTATTTTATATGACATAACATCTTTTGTAGGATGTATCTGGGCTCACACAATTTTTGTTACTATATAGGATATGTGACTTGAAGCATTAATCCCGTCTTAGCCCCTGTTGTCCTCACCTGCAAGAATCAGTTCACAATATCTTCCCTGTAGGACTTCTGCTAGAACTGAAGAAAGGAAGGAATGCAAAGTGCTTAGTGCACAGTCGATATCCAATAAAAATTAGTGCCCAGCTCCAAGAAAATTAGAGTAACAGAGATTGGCTTTACTTTTCTGCATGAAATAATTTTAAAGTCATCAAAATATGTAAAATAAAATTAAAGCACCTGGTATGGTGGTGTACACTTTTAATCCCAGCACTTGGGAGGCAGATACAGGCAGATTTCTGTGAGATGGAGGCCAGGCTGGTCTACATAGTGAGTTCCAGGCTAGCTGGGGCTACAGGGAGAGCCTGTCTCAAAAAGAAACTACCCCCTCCCCCCAATAAATCACACATCAGGCAAATAAGATAGAAATTCCCCCAAAGTGGAGACAAAGTCATGCGTATTGCCTGGAAAGAATATCCAGAACACATATAAGAAAGAGACAGTCAGGCAACATATTCTCTAAGTTTAGTAAAGTATGAGGAATTTTGCATTATCAGGGCAGAGTACCAGATCCAAGGAGAGCTGTGAGCACCAAGCAAAAGAAACGTGAATAAAACTACACAAGATATATAAACTCGAATTGTTATAAAAAGCAGTATCCTGACGAATAGGGAAGTATGGGCCACTCCTGTACCTTCAGCTCAGGGAGGCTGAGGCTCACTCAATCTACATAGAGAGACCCTGTCACCATTAATAAATAAATAGCCAAACAAGAAACACAGATGAAAGACTTCTCAGAAATGATGTTAGCCTTGTTTCTTATCAGAAGCAGATCTTCAGTTCAAAGGTTTCCGCTGTTCTTCAAACAAAAGGAACTTTATACTGTACGGGAGCAAAACTACATAAGATGATGAAGACCATGAGAAACTGCAACTACATGACCAAATATAAATACGGCTTGTCCCTCATCATTTAGATCACTCAGAAAGTAATTTACTTGGGCCTGGAAAGATGGCTCAGCAGTTAAGAGCACTGGCTGGTCTTGCAGAGGACCCAAATTCAGTTCCCTGCTCCCACATGGTATCTAACAACCACCCATAACTCCAGTTCAGGGGGCTCTGATGCCCTCTTCTGGCCTCTGCAGGCACTGCATGACATTGCATCCATGTAGGCAAAACAATCATACACATAAAATAAAAATAAAATAAAATAAGTAATTTACTGTTCAAAGCACAAAAACCCCAAACAACAGCAAAAATCCCTTAACGAATCCCTCTTGTATTATGAGTTATAGCTCTGTCGGAAATAGAGGAAATGGGGGAAAGCAGCATGAAATCCACATGAGAGGGAATTATATTGTTATAATGTTCTTATAATGTATTTGCAGTAGTATAATATCACTTGAAGGGATATTGTAATAAGTTAAAACTACATAACCCACATACTAAAAACAGTTGCTAAAGTAATAAAGCAAAAATTACAACTAGTTAGTGAATAAATAAAATAGATTGGAATCATTTAAAACACACTCAATACAAACTAAAGAAGGGAAGAAGAAAGAGGGAGGAAAAACCCTAGGATAAATAGGAAACAAGTAGTAAAATGATATATTTAAACACAATAATAAGAACCACAATAGACTGGAATGCTATTAACATCCTGAAGAACAGTGTCAACTAAAATAATTAAGCACACTATAAAATGCTGAATAAAACCAATTTAAAAAACCAGACAAGCAAGCAAAAAGCACCTTAACTCTAAAGACATAAATTAAGAGTGAAAGGATGAAAAACATATGCTATACTAATTACATGAAATCCTAAATAGTTATACTAACAGCAAACAATAGTTTTCGGGGCCAAGAATATTACCATGGATAAAGAGGATCATTTTGTAATTTTGGAGACAAGGTCTTACATAGCTTAGGATGGTCTCAAACTCACTATGTACTGGAGGATGCCATGAAGTTCTAACTCTCATGCCTCCACCTCTTGCTGAGATTGCAGGTGTGCACCACCACACTCAGTTTATGTGGCACTGGCGATCAAACCCAGGGCATTGTGCAAACAGGGCAAGCATTCTACCAACTGAGTCCCACCCCCAGTCTACTTCTCATTAGTACATATTAAAATAATGGATTTTGTTGTGGAATTTTCATACATGTATATAACATAATTTGATTATACTCATTACTGCATTAAATAGTTATCTCTTATTGCTAGAGGATATAACTTAGAAGAAAGAAACACTTTTAGGAAAAGAAAAACTGATGGAATCATTGCTAGTAAATTAAAATTCAAAAT